CGGGAGGCTTACCTTGCTGAGCCCTGCCCAGGCACGGGGAAGGGGAGACGGGCCCCTTACCCCTGAACCCAAGGCTTCTTCAGTGGGGGCTCCAGGGGCTGGGGCTGCTGCACCTGCCTACTTCCATTCTGTCCCCGGCCCTGGGAGGCTGGAGTGGGCTGGGGTGGACCCTGGCATGCCAAGCTGAAAGAGGCTGGGGAGAGACTGGGGTCCTGGGCCCACCACGCTTGGCAGGCCTCAGACTGTACTCTGGCCTGGCTCCCCCCCACCCAGTGGCTGCCACTCACTTTGTCCAGAGGGTGGCCATGGAGGGCCTTTGGGTTGCTAGAAAAGGAGATGTTGGAAAGCTCAGGATGGAGTGGGTGTGTGAGGTCCCTGAGGCAAAAAGGCCCTTGGTCCTGACAGGCTTGACCCCCAAGCCGGACTCTTGGAGCAGTGCTGTGTGTACTTGCCCAGAATTCTGCCTTCTCCATTGTCAATAAAGCCTCCCCCTTCGTGACCTAAACTCTGGGCTGTTCTTGCTGGTGGGCAGGGAGAGCAGGGGCTGGCAGCTGCCAGCCTACATCTCAGAGGCGCCATGGACCCCAGCTGGGAGGCCAGGAAAGGGACCTGGGGCTGGCCCTCTTCCCCTAGTTCAGAGACTTCCCCTTCCTGCCTTTGGTAGCCCAGCCCTACAAGACCGTCTGACCATCTCCGTTGGGCACCCATCAGGCTTATAGCCCTGAGCCCTGCCTCCACTCCCAGGGGGCTGATGGAAGGCCGAGGGGCTCAGGAGAGAGGCGGGTATGTCACAGGCATTAGTGTGGCAATTGGAGCGTTAACTCTCAAAACAGTTGCTTGAGTTCTAAGACCTTGGTCACATAACTTAACCTCTCTGTGCCTCAGTTGCCTCATCTATAAAGTGGGGATGCTACAAGTACCTACCTCATAGAATTGTTAGAGTAAGTGAAAAGCGTTATGTCAAATGCTTGAGTGCCTTGTCCATAATAAGTGCTCAATAAATGTTAACTGTTGAGACTGCTATTCAATCAGCCACGTGATGAGACAACTGAGCAAGCAAATGCTGAGAGAAGGTGCTATTATATGTCCCCTGGTGATGTGTTTCTCTGCCTGGTCTTACTTTCTACACAATGTCCCCTCCCAGCTCAGACCCCGACGACAGGGGCTGTGACTGCAACTGTTACCTGGGCTTCTTGTCTCTGTCTCATCCTCTGCACACCATCTGCCATGTAGCCACCAGAGTGGTCTTATTAAAAGGCATCATTCTCTCCAACGTCAAGTGCCTCCAGTAGTTCCTCATCACCTTCTGGTCAAGGCTAGACCTGTGACCAGTCATTTCAGGCTTTGCCTGCTTTCCAGCCTCACAGCTTACTGTTCTCTGGCCAGGACACTGTGCGACCACCCTGGCAGCCTCAGTATCCCCTCCTTGTATTTATCTTCCTACATCTGAGCTTTTGCTTGTTTATTCCCTTTGCCTGGAATGCCCAAGCCTCATCTCTACCTGTTGAAATCCATTAAGGTCCAAACCAAATGATGCCTCCTTGAAGCCTCCCCTGATTCCTCTAGAAAGCGATGGTCCCTTCCCTTCCTCTGTGCTTGTGGGCATTCTACTTTTGCCTGTGTTTATGGGTCCGTCTCCCCATCCCCAAGTCCATGGCTACTTGAGGTCAGGGACTCCTTGAGGTCAGGGACTGTGACTCAGCACTGTGACTGGCCCTGAGTAAGTGCTGAATGAATGAATGAATGGTGGGTAATGTACAGGACAACAAGCCAAGGTCAATGCTGCAGTTTGAGGCCTGCAGAGGGCTTTGGCTGGATCAGTGAGAGTTTGTCCCAGGCTACTCCAGAGGCAGGCCTGAACGGCCAGGAAGCTGCTGGTCGAAGCTCTAAGAAGCCCCCTCTCTGCACCCACAGACCCCCCAACATTGATTCTTTGCTGAGCTGACCTGTTTCTGGCTTAGAGGAAGAAGGGATGAGAAGCTCCTCAGAGCTGGCCCAGAGTTCTGGGGACAGTGCCTGGCTCTTGGGACTCAGCTTGACCATCCTTAAGACCAGAGCAGGAGGCCAGACTCACTAATGAGAAGCCCCTGGGCAGCACCTTCTCTGGGGACCATCCAGAGTAACCTTCCTCCACTCCCTCATGCACCTTAAAGAGCTGGTGACAGTGAACCGGCAGAACTGAGGGCTCAGCGCCACCTGCTGACCACAGACAAGACCTACTTGATCCCCAAAACTCAGAACCACTGGTCCTAGGCTTTCCGCTCTGAGACCCCTAGCCTTTAGGCTTAGCTCAGGGAGGAGCTGGAAAGTTCCAGGCATGGAGGGACAGCTGGACCAGACCTTCCTTGACACCCTCCACCGGATGTTCTTGTCCACTCACAGTGCTCCCACCATTTGGGGGCACCCCCTTTTTAAGACACTTGTCTAAACTAGACAAGGGAGCTCCCCTGAGCTCCACTCAGCCCAGCAGGAACTTTTGTGAGAATTTTGTTTCTGATATTCCGCCTCGAGGACAGCACTGGGTGTCACGTGAGAGCAGATGTAGCAGTCCAAGCTCGTCCACACCCTGTGTGCAGAACTGGCTCTCCAGATCCCAAGGATGTATCTCAGGTCACTGCGGTCCAGTGCTGACAGAGGCACTGTTCTCTGGGTTTGCAGATGAGGGGTCGGGATCAGACTTGGTGTTAACTTGCTAACATCTCACAGCTAGTAAGTGGCAGGCCCAAGATTTGAACCCGAGTCTGTCTCAAACCACAGCCCTGCTCCCTTCCCCCTGCTGCACAGTCCCAATTTCCTGAGCGCCACCTTTCTCTAGGGGTGCCACCTTGATCTCAAGCGTCATGTCTCTAGACCAAGAACAGGAAGGGAAAGCACAACTCAGGAAGGTCCCAGATTTGAGACTGATACAGACTCAGCTATGGTAAGTGACAGCCTAGATCATGTCCAAAACACCAAGGGAGCCAGAGGGACTCTTAACTGAGTCCAAGCTTGTACTGCTCGCCACATGCCAGGCCAATAAATCAAGAGACGAGTTGTTGGGGCAAAGAACAGCGACTTTATTCATAAAGCCAGCAGACGGAGAAGGTGGTGGGCTCGTGCCCCTAAGAACCATCTTGCCTGAGTTAGAAATTCAGGCTTCTTTTATACTAAAAGGGGAGGGGGTAAAGTCAAACATGTCCTGGTTCCTGTCAGCCTCCAGAGGGTATGTGTTAATTTCTTCCTTCCTGCAGTCATTCACAGGTGGGCCTGGTCAGGATGTTTCCTTTGAGCTAAACAAAGGTATTTTAGCTTAATACTCATTACGTGGGAGGCAGGGTTCCCAGGGACGGGCCATTATGTATAATTTAAGCTTATAGGCAACATCCCTTTAGTGATTAACTTGTAATAGAATACAAAGGTTCTTCCCTATTACAGGACCTCACCAACACTTTCTCCCACCCATGTGTATGATGAACCCTCCATCTTCTGTCTTCTTGCAAATGGACTGGGGTCCCTACCTTCCAGGCTACCTTTCCCACAGCCAGTCAGGTGGCAATGCAGACTAATGGGGCACATCTGCCACTCCTGTCTGTCCCCAACTCACACCAGGTGTTGTGACATGTGTCCTGGGCCTCAGTCCTGAGTTCAAGAGAGGAGGGAAGCCAAGCCACCCTCTTCCAGTAGTGAAACTGAATTGCTAGTCTGGGAAAACTAGCCCATTAGCCATACTGGAAACCTGCTCAGGCCTAATGCCTCTGGATTTGGCATCTCCAGCCAGTCACTGCATGGCCCACATGTGGCCCACTAAGGTGGACGTCCAGCCTTTCTGCTGGGGAGGACTCACCCAGCTTCTATAGAACCCATTCTCCTCAGGTAGCATCCTCCCAGCTCTGTCCTGCTCTTGAGTTCCTCTCCAACATCTTCTTTTAGGGAGAACTTTCCTAGGGAGCTTGCTACAGGGAGTAGCCCTGGCTCCCCACACATCTCTGGGCTCGCCTTTGAGGTCTCCCCAGGTCCAGTGTCAGACACCCTATTGTACCAAGACATGCAGAAGACTTGGGGGAAGAAGACATGAATGCTGCTGACCCTAGACTGGGGCAGGCCTGAAGAACAACAGATCTGTTCCAACTTGAAAGGAATTGCGGAAAGGCCGAACAATGGGATTAAGGTCAGAACTGAGTTCCAGAGAGTGGGTTTGTTGCATTAGAATCTAGACTACTGGCATCCTCTGTGCCAGGACCACCTGACTGGGGCATTGTACATCTTCATCTACCTACACCCTACTCTATTTCCACTCTGGGCTGGCCCAACTCTGGAGTGATGTGAAAGACAGGCCACCTAGACTGGCCAACTTGGGTACAGGAGTGTGAACTTCTCTCTGTCCCCCATACTTAGGTCCTTCCAGGCACTGATGCCAATGAGTAAAGCAGTGATACACCACACAATTTATTACGCAGCCCTGCCTCTGTGTACTCTTCACTTGATCAACTCCAGTTTTTCCCATAATGCCATTATTATTGGGGAAGGGAAGATACTCCAGCGTAAACCAGACGGAAGCAAATAACTACAGTTCTGACTGAAACTTTGACATAGGTCTTCTACCTGTGAAGGGAGGAAGAAAGGACGATTGGCTAGCAAGAGCGTCATATGACAGTGCAACTCCAAGAAAATCTCAGCCACCCCAACAGGGAGCTCCAAAGATTCCTGCCTTGATCGGCCATTGGCTGGCCAGGACAGCATGGCATAAGCTCAAAAGCTACAGCAGATCCCTGAGATGCCATAGCTGGAACATGGTGGCTAAGTACACTCTTCATAGCAGGCTCTGTCTTGGAGGGGCTCTCAGCAGCACATCTCCACGGCAACCACACTTTTGGGTCAAAATTCAGCTTCCTGGGAAGCTGTATCAGTTAGCTTTTGCTATGTAACAAACCACCCTAAAACACAGTGGCTTTGAAAAAATAAGTATTTCTCAAAAAAAGAAAGAAAGAAAAAGCGTCTTCCCTGGCGCTCCAGTGGTTACGACTCCATGCTTCCACTGTAGGGGACATGGGTTCGAGCCCTGGCCGGGAATATTAAGATCCCACATGCCGTGACACAGCCCATCCACCAAAAAAAGAAAAAGAAAAAGAAAAAATAAGTATTTCTCATGCATTTGAGAGTTGGTTCTGTTGATGCTGATGATCTTAGCTAGATTTGCTTACATGTCCGGTGGCTGTCATCTGATCCAGACTGGCCTCCACTAGAGCAACTAGCTCCAGCTTCCAGGGTCTCTCATCCTCTGGCAGGCTCTGATTCCGGTGTCCCTCACCCTCCAGCAGGCTCTATGAATCAGTTGGTCAACTTTAGACAAACAGCCTTTTTTCTTGATTAATCGATTGTTCTGCTTTTCCTAAAGCATTTATAATGAGATATATTAGCTATTGCACAGATTCTGCCTTGGCAGGCTCATAAATAACTGGAGGCAATTTTATTACCTAGAACCATTTAACCAACACATTTACACTGGTCTTAACAACAGCCTGAGTTATTTTATTTGCTATGTGGGCCAGAGGGATAAACATGTTTGGAAACATGTTTTAGTTTGGAAACACCCTCGCTAGGGTTAGACGTTCTTGGTTAAACCAGTAAAATCTGGGTGGTAAGTTATCTCATTGAGCTATTAACAAAATATGAGCAACTGGGGGAAGGAATTCCCCTCTCTGAGCTGTGGATTCTATATGTGAGAACACTAGTGCAGCCCACATCACTCACAGGCCTGGTGTGAACCGTGAGGTCAGGTTTGATTTACAGTGAGACTTTATTATGAGAAGGCAGAGGGGCTTTACAATGCATCTCCTCAGAGTCCCAGGCCACCACATGGAGACCAAATGAGACAGTTCCTCCCCAACACATCAGAAAAAGCCACACACCATAAACACACTTAGAATATCCCAGCATCAACCCTGAGAACTCTCCAACACCATGCATTGGCCATGAATTCTGAATTCCCAGAGCCTACTCCAAAACATAAGTCTAAACTTTGCTTTGCAGCCTCTTACCTTTTCCAAAGAAAAAAACATAAAAATAAAATTAATACGATCAGTCCAGTAGAGATCAATCCAATATACAACCAAACAATCCACAAGTCAGTTTTCTTCTCAGATTCTGCAGAGAGAAAGAAGAGGAGAACATTAAGAGGAAACCTACTGGCAGGGGCCAAAGAAGACCACACGACTGCTTCTAGGATCTCTGTGGCTGTGTATCATCTTCCCTGTCAGAGATAGAACCACCAACCTTCTGCCACACGTCTTTGCATCCTCCATCCTATCACTTAACACCTTCACACATCAAACAGCCTGCTTAGCACTTGCCAGAAAAACACCACAATATCAAACACCACATACAATATACACATACCATGCACACATTCAAAGCTTCCATACTACTACACTACCCTGTATCACTTGTATACTGCTATAGACTGAATGTCTATCTCCCCTCAAAATTCTTATGTTGAAATCCTAATGCCCAATACAATGGTATTAGGAGGTGGGGCTTTGGGGAGCTTTAGGTCATGAGGGTGGAGCCCTCATGAGTCAGATTAGTGCCTTATAAAGGAGGCCTTCGAGAGATCCCTCACCCCTTCCACCATGTGAGGACACCATGAGAAGTCTGAAACCTGGAAAAGGGCTCTCAGCCATAGTGGCACACTAATCTCAGAATTCCAGCCTCCAGAACCGTGAAAAATAAAGTTCTGTTGTTTGTAAGTGACCCAGTCTGTGGCAATTTGTTGTATTGGGTTGGCCAAAACGTGCCTTCGATTTTTAAGTAAAAATAAAAGACACATTCTTCATTTTCACCAAGAACTTATTGAACAATGTATTCACCCTTTTGTTCCACTATCTTCTGTTTTTCAGGCAACTTCATAATTCCCTCTTCCCAAAACTTTTAATCTTTTTGAGCAAAGAACTGTTGCAGGTGCCTTTTATAGTCTTCCAGGGAATTGAATTTTTTTCCATTAAGAGAATTTTGTAAAGACCTAAATAAATGGAAATCCAAAGGTGCAATGTCTGGTGAATACAGCAGATGAATCAGAACTTCCCGGCCAAGCTGTAACAGTTTTTGCCTGGTCATCAAAGAAACATGTGGTGTTACATTATCCTGATGGAAGATTATGTGTTTTCTGTTGACTAATCCTGGATGCTTTTCGTCAAGTACTGCTTTCAGTTGGTCTAATTGGGAGCAGTACTTGTTGGAATTAATCGTTTGGTTTTCCGGAAGGAGCTCATAATAGAGGACTCCCTTCCAATCCCACCATATACACATCACCTTCTTTGGATGAAGACTGGCATTTTGTGTGGCTGGTGGTGGTTCAATTCGCTTGCCTACGATCTCTTCCGTTTCATGTTATTGTACAGTATCCAGTTTTCATCGCCCGTCACGATTTGTTTTAAAAACAGAACATTTTCGTTATGTTTAAGTAGAGAATCGCATGCAGAAATATGGTCAAGAAGGTTTTTTTTGCTTAACTTATGTGCAACCCAAACATCAAAGAGATGAACATAACCAAGCTGGTGCAAATGATTTTCAACGCTTGGTTTGGATATTTTGAGCATGTTGGCTATCTCCTGCGTGGTATAATGTTGATTGTTCTCAATTAATGTCTTGATTTGATCGCTATCAACTTCAACTGGTCTACCTGACCGTGGAGCATCGTCCAGCAAGAAATCTCCAGCACAAAACTTCGCAAACCACTTTCGACACATTTGATCAGTCACAGCAACCTTCTCCATACACTGCACAAGTCTTTTTTGTATTTCGGTTGTGTTTTTACTTTTCTTGAAATAATAAAGCATAATATGCCAAAAATGTTGCTTTTTTTCCTTCCATCTTCAATATTAAAATGGCTACACAAAAATTCACCAATTTTGATGTCTTTTTTTAAATGCACACTGATATGACAGCTGTCACGTACAATCTAACAAAATTGTTTTGAATGAAGTTAAAGACAACTAAGTGCTAATAGAGCCATCTTACGGAAAAAAACGAATGAACCTTTTGGCCAACCCAATAGCAGCCCATACAGACTAAGACATATACATATCACCCAGACAAATCCCTTATACCATACACACAAAGCATATTTCAATTTCATATTCCCCATGCCCCACACATATGCTAAACACATCCCTGCACACACCACCCACCCACACAATCCCTAGTCCTTACTTCCAGGAACAATTTCTCTCTCCCTTCAGGGCCATCCCAAGCCCCACCTGGCACACCCTGACCACATTTCCCAGGGCCACTAGTTAGCCTCTGCCTTCCTTACCTCCCTCACCTCTAGGCAGATGCATTGGACCAGCAGGACCAGAGCCATGACCCTGGAAGCCAGGTCATCACCACTCTCTACCTATTAGACCATCTGTCCCAGCTTAAGGACCTAATCTGGACTGCTGACTCTGGGGCTGAGCTAAACCAGACCAAGCTTTCTCTCCTTCCCTATTGGCCCCCATATTCCCCTAGACTGTGTGGGAACCAAAGTTGATATTATATTCCCCTCAAGATGAAGAGATGGGGAAATGTCTAGGGGGCTGCTTACCTATCAGAATCGGGGTGAAGTTGAAACTCTGGCACATGAGTGAGGATACATGCCATACCACACACTGGTAGATGGTCACATTGTCTTCCAGAGAGGGCTTCAGCCTCAAGTAGCTAGTGATATTAAATGTACCATCCTTATTCTTCATGGTGGGGCCAGTGATAACGTCCTCAGAAATCTCCTGGAACTGGGGATCCTTCTGGGTCCACCTTTTCCACGTTATGTTAATATCCTCTGGGTAGAATCCACTTGACTTACACAAAATATGTTTGTCTTCATTATCTTTCACCACAGCTCGCTCCAGAAACAAGCTACTGACTGGGTGAGCTGCCAGGGGAGAGAAATCATGCCTTGAGGGTAGGTAGGGACTTGCTTATTATCAGCCCAATGTCAGACCCATGGCAAGCCTTCAGGAAAGGTGAGTAAACTGAATGGTATTCTGCCTAGGCTAAATGTTCTGGGTATGCTGGTCCCAGTGCTGGCAGGGTGCCGATATGCTGTGACCCCGAAACTCACAGCAATTTTATAAAGCAGAGTTTCTTAAGCCCCTCTGTGTCATAGACACGGTTGAGAATCTGAGGAAAGCCTTGGAACAGTGTTGTGGCAGAGACTGCTAATTGCTGCGAATCTCTATTCTTCAAAGACACCTCCAAGTTAAAGCTACTTCTCCCACCTTTCTCTGCAGCTGGGTGTAGGCATATGAACTAAGGGTCTGGAAGTTTGCATGTATTCAGAAGTAGTGAGAGCAATTTCTAAGAAGTCTCCTGAAATAACAAGGGTATCTTAAAGAAGAGAACAGTGTCTCTCCCCCTCCACTTCTTCCTTCCTGCAGAATGGCTGCAATACCATGTCATGGCTGGAGATGGAGAAGACATTTCCAAGCACAAGGTGGAAATGCAGGTTGAGGATGGCAAAGTGATGACATAAAAGGATCCTGGGTCCTAGATGATCACAGAACTGCCATACATGCCCTGGGTTGGCCACAGTTTTGTGAAAGGAAAATAAACTACCTTCTTAAAAGCACTATTGACTTCTCGCTTCCCTCTGACATGTAAAGACCTAAAGTCATCACTTCTATCCTCATAACAGGAAAAAAAGCTGAGCTGAACAAACTGTAAATCCACAGCTTTTCTTAGATCCATCAGAGAATTGAGGTGACAGGGCAAACCACCACCCTGAAAAAAGACAGGCAGATTGAGAGAATCACAGCCGAGATCATAAAACCTTAAGCAGAAGGTACTGGAGTAATAAACTGGTCGACACACTTAAGCAGTAACGCTGACAAATTGCTAAAGGATAAGTGTGGACTAGATTGAGAATAAAAAAACTCCTAAAGGCCCAGTCTTAGGGGTGGGTCACAACACTTTCATGAGTTTTACCTCCCAGAATCCCACCACGCTCTCACTGTGAAGATCCAAGAAAAATTCCCTCCTATTGTGAGCAATGGGGAGAGGAAAAGTAACTATTTAAAAATATACCCAGTGCATTCTCCATAATAAAGGATGCTCTCAAGGGAAAAGACTTTGCCAGTCTTGCTTGACCTGGGATAGTGATGATTAGCCAACTCCAGCCCCCTCTAGCCTTCCCGCCTCACCTAGAAACACTTCTGAAGGTGAGACAGCCTAGGGGCTCAGGCAACTCAAAAGAATGAGATTTAACCATAAGAGTATAGACTGCTTCTCCTCCACAACACCTTACCACTACATCAACAGAGTTCCAGAATGGTAACAGATTACAACTGAGAGAGATGTTAAACACAGGCTCTGTTTAAGGTGTTCATAGGGAAATTCAAACAAAACAAGGAAGGGGGAAAACTCTGGCACCTACAGGTACAGCATTAACACTAAACACAGCCTAACGCCTAGCCAAAGCAACATAGACTCTCACACCAAAAGCCTATTCACCTCAGTTCTTACTACCTGATACATAATATCTGGTTTTCAACAAAAAATTACAAGGCATGCTGAAAAGTATGAAAAGACAAAGCAAGCCTCAGAACAAGACTTTCGTATGACACAGATTTTAGAATTATCAGATAGAGAATTCTAAATAATGATTAAAATGTTAAGAGCACTAATGGAAAAAGCAGACAATATGCAAGAACAAATGGATAATGTAAATAGACAGATGGAAACTTTAAGAAAGAATCAAAAGGAAATGCTAGAAATCAAAAACATTATAAAAGAAATGAAGAATGCCTCTGATGGGCTCATCAGTAAACTTCACAGTGCCAAGGAAAGAATTAGCTAGCTTAAACATGTCAATGGAAACTTCCCAAACTGAAATGCAAAGAGAAAAAAGAATGGGGAAAAAAACCAGAAGGGAACAGAATATCCAAGAACTGTAAGATGACAGCAAAAGGTAACATATGTAATAGGAATACCAGAAGAAGAAAAGAGAAAGGAGCAGAAGAAACATTTTGAAAAATAATGGCTGAGAATTTTCCAAAATTAATGACAGACACCAAAGCACAGATCCAGGAAGCTCAGACAACACCGAGCAGAAAAATAGCAAAAAAAGAAAAAAAAAAAATTTATACCTAGGTATACCATATTCAAAATGCAAAAAAACAAAGAGAAAATCTTGAAAGAAGCCAGAGGAAAAAAATAACTTACCTATAGAGGAACAAGGATAAGGATGACATGGGACTTCTTAAATGCAAGAAAGAAGAGAGTGGAGTGAAATATTTAAAGTATTCGAAGAAAGAAAGCCCCACCAATCTAGACTCCTATATCCAGAAGAATTACCCTTCAAAAATGAAGTATACTTTCTCAGACAGACAAAAACTGAGGAAATCTGTCACCAGTAGACCTGCTTTGCTACATGTTAAAAGAAGTTCTTCAGAGAGACGGAGAATGATATAGGTCAGAAACTAGAATCTACAAAAAGAAAGGAAGAGTGTCAGAGAAGGAATAAATGAAGGCAAAATAAAACATTTATTTTTCTTATGCTTAACTGATCTAACAGATCATTGTGTTCATTCAAAATAATAATAGCAACAATGTACTGCGTGGTTACAGCATATGAAAAAGTTAAATGAATGACAGTAATGTTATAAGAGATGGGAGAGAAGAACTGGAAATACTCTGTTATTAACGACCTGTACTACCCATGGAGCAATACAGTGTTATTTGAAAGCAGACTTAAATTAGTTGTAAATGTACACTGCAAACTCTAGGACAACCATTAAAATAAATTTTAAATAAGTATAATTGATATACAGAGAAAAGAGAGAAAATGGTATCATATAAAATATTCAATTAAAACCAGAGAAGGGGGGGCTTCCCTGGTGGTGCAGTGGTTGAGAGTCTGCCTGCTGATGCAAGCGACACGGGTTCGTGCCCCGGTCCAGGAAGATCCCACATGCCGCGGAGCAGCTAGGCCTGTGAGCCATGGCCGCTGAGCCTGCGCGTCCAGAGCCTGTGCTCTGCAACGGGAGAGGCCACAACAGTAAGAGGCCCGCGTACCGCAAAAAAACAAAAAAAAACCAAAAAAGAAACCCAGAGAAGGCATAAAAAGAGGCGGAAAATTAAATTTAAAAAATTTAAAAAACAAAGGGCACCAAATAGAAAACAGATACAAACACAATACATATCAGTCCAACTATATACGCAATCACTTTAAATGAATGGTCTAACTCCATCAACTAAAAGACAGAGACTGTCATAGTGGATAAAAAAAAGACTCAAACATGTGCTTTCTACAAGAAACCCACTTTAAATATGAGGACCCAAATAGATTAAAAGTAAAAGGATTGAGAAAGATATACCATACTAATACTAACCCAAAGAGAACTAACCCAAAGAGAACTAAATACTAACCCAAAGAGAACATTATTAATGAATAATCAATTCATCAATTATAACAAATATACCATAAATACAAGATGATACTAATGGGGCAAGTGGGGTGTGGAGGCAAGAGTAATATGGGAACTCGGTACTAACTTTCCAATTTCTCTGTAAATCTAAAACTCTTCTGAAAAATAAAGTGTATCTAATTTTTGGGAGAAAAAACCCTTTTATTTTAGGCTTTCTGTCAGTTGCAGAGGAAATGAATTCTAACATACATCCCCATTACCAAAATTAATATGTACAAAACATTCAAAGTCTTAAGTACAATTATGGAGGGCTCACAGACACTGCCCCTCAGTTACAGGCTGAATTGTATGCCCCCCCAAATTCATATGTTGAAGTCCTAATCCCTAGTCCTAGTCCCTCAGACTATGACTATATTTGAAGGTAGGGTTTTTATTGAGGTTGGTAAGTTAAATGAGATCATTAGGTTGAATCCTAATCTAATATGACTGATGTCTTTGTAAGAAGAGGAGATTAGGATACACAAATACAGAGGGAAGAGGGGGTGAAGACACAGGGAGAAGACAAGCACCTACAAGCCAAGGAGAGAGGCCTCTGAAGAAACCAACCCTGCTGTCACCTTGATCTCAGACTTCTAGACTCCAGAATTGTGAGAAAATAAATTTCTGTTGTTTAAGCCACCCAGTCAGTGGTGTTTTGTTATGGCAGCCCCAAGCTCATCCACAGAGTATCTGACCTATTTATAATAGAAGAAAGTGGAGCTCAAAAACGTGTTTAGGGAAAAGTGTTGTTATAAATCTTGACTGAGCACCTACCTCACAACAGCACTGGCAGAGCATTTTCATACATGATCTTGTGTAATCCTCAGAACACTATGAGGCAGGTATGACTTATTGCCTCATTTTGCACATGGAAAATTCATTTGCACATGGGAAAATTCACGTGTAAAGATGTTAAATGGCTGACCCAATCACTCAGTTTGGAAGCAACAAAGTTAGACAGAATAGGATTCAGATCCATGGAACCAGAGTGCAATCTCTCTCCTTCCCCAGCTACCTTTCAGAGGTACCTCTTCAGTGAAGACTAACTGTCCACACACCAAGGAAATTATATAATTACTTTGACTATCTTTTACTGCGAACTTAAAATGGGCCAAACGCTATTCTAAGCATCCTCCTTGCATTTTTCATAGCCTCTTCCCTACAATCAATCCTCTTAGAAAAGTACTATTACATTTGTTTAGAGGGAAGGGCATTGAGATTCAGCGTGATTAATAACTTGTCCCAAGTTGTCTAGAAGTCCATGGAAGCCCAGGACTCAAATCCACATCTATGTGACTCCTAGGCCCATGCTCTGCTCCACTTGGCCCATCTACATCTCCACCCCAAGCCCCATCACCATGGGAATCACAGGGCACTGCCCTCAGGCACTCACCTACAACCTCCAGCCAGACTCTCCCCTGTGCCTTCTGAGGAGTGACCACCAACTCACATCGGTACTCTCCTGCTTCCCACAGTTGGACCCCAGGCAGCTGCAGTGAGGCATCCCCCCTCTTCAGCCTCCATGGAGACACGTTGGCTCCAGGTCGGAATGCCACTTTGTGGTCTCCAAAAAATTCAAACAGTTTGATCTCTATTTCAGACAACTGAGCCTTCCGAAACCAGGTGATACCCATACTGTTGATGTCCAGGTGTGGGAAACCAGGGATCTTGCAAAAGATAGTCGCATTTTCATTCAGGAAAACCATCTGAGTCCTCCCTGCCATCTCCACTTCCAGAAAACCTGGGGCAATGTGAGAACTGTGTTATGGAAGACCCTTGGAAGAAACATAGACCTGGGGCTCTAAAACACTGCCATATAATTGGAAACAACTTCCCTTTTTGTGGGGACGGGGGGAGGGGTCTTCAGATACAAAGGCCCTTAGTTTATGGCCCCTCATTAATCCACATAAACTCCTTCAATTTTTTTTTTTTTTTTTTCCCCAAGATTGTTTTTGCTATGCTGGGTGCCTTGCAATTTCAGAGGAATTTGAGAAACAGTTTATCAATTTCTACAAAGAAGTCAGCTAAGTTTCTAATAGGAATTGAACTGAATCTGTAGATCAATTTGGCAAGTATTGCCATCTTAGCAATGTTGCTTCTAATCCACAAATGTGTTTGGGGGATGTGTTATGGACTGTTTGTGTCCCCACCAAATTCATATGTTGTGGCCTAATCCCCAGTGTGATGGTATTTGGAGGAGGGGCCTTTGGGAGATAATTAGGTCATGAGGGTGAGCCCTCATGAATCAGATTAGTGCTCTTATAAGAGACATGAGAGGGAGTTTCCTGGCGGTCCAGTGGTTTAGACTCTGTGCTTCCACTGCAGGGGACATGGGTTTGGTCCCTGATCGGGGAATTAAGATCCCACATGCCACGCAGCCAAAAAATAAATAAATAAAAATAAAAAATAAGAGACATGAGAAATATGAGACATCTCTCCAAACCTGAGGATATAGTAAGAAAGTGTTCACCTACAAGCCGGGAAGGGGTCCCTCACCAGGAACCAAATCAGTCAGCACCTTGATCATGGACTTCCAGGCTTCCAGAACTGTGGGAAATAAACTTGTTGTTGCTGTTGTTTTGGCAGCATGCATGCGGGATCTTAGTTCCCCAACCAGGGATCGAACCCGTGCCCCCTGCAGTGGAAGCGTGGAGTCTCAACCACTGGACCACCAGGGAAGTCCCAGAGTAAATTTCTTATTTCACGCCTCTCCGTTCCAGCAACTGGCATGATACAAGAGAGGCAGAGGTTTACAGAACATCAGAGCGTGTGCTCACAGACTCCTACAAGTGCCGACTCTGCACATAGTAGGCGTCAGTATACAACTGTTGAATCAGTAAATGAATCCGCATTTCACAATACAGAGTTCAGGGTTGGTTGGGGCTTTTTAAGATATTTAGCCCCAGCCGGACTCGGACCTCACTGCGTAGCGAAAGCCACCCCTCCTCCCTCCCTGCCTCCTTCCTTCTCTCCCTCCTGCCCTACCTGCGGTGGGCAGCGTGAGCCCCAGGACCAGCACCAGAACCGGGAACACAGCACGGAACCCCACCACGTTGGGCCGCCCGCCCTCTGCGCCATGGCCACAGCCTCCTGGAACTTGCACCCTCAAACTTCCTCTTAGTAGCTTTCTTCTTCTTAGGAGTGGGCAGGTCCTAAGGAGTGGGTGACGGAACATCTCTTGCGCGGTGACTGGAACTTTACGCAGAATTAGTTAATGGCGCATTTGCACCTCTGCAACTCTGCGAGAAGTCGTTTTGGTTGCTCCGTTCACAGAGAAGGAAAGTTACCGCCAGCGCCTTGCTCAGTCACACCTCCACCGGCTGTGCGCGCGCGCCGGCAGTGGGAGCGGCGAGCAGTGGGCCGGAAGTCCCCACATCCGAGCGCGCCGGCCGGCAGGGGCACAGGGTTCGCGTCAGCCTCTACGTTCGCTTTGTAATCTGAGGCCAGGATCCGATCGCCTGGGCGCTGCTCTAAGGAAGATCCACTATGCAGGAGCGCATTGGGGGCAATTGTTCTTACCATCAGCATGATAAACTAACATTACTTTTTTTTTTTTTTTTTTACGGTTCTGAAAAGTCATTCTTTATTTTGATACTGAGAAATGGATTATTTCCTAACATATCAGTAAACAGAGGCTGTCACAGTCACCGGGGATTGTAGCCACCACCAGAAGGTAAGCTGGTGAGCCCTGAGGCAACTCAGGAAGGAAAGAATACCTGCCATCTAGCAGCAGACCGCAGCCACTCCCTACAAAAACACAGGACACTGGCCCCAGATAGTTGAGGTACATATCAAAGGAATGATTTCAGTGAGCCCAGACTCTTGCATCTTCCCATATGTAGAAATGGGCTTAATTCCTTAACTTGGGGTATCTGGTTTTCTTTAATTACAATAATCTTTTGATGTTCCCGACTACCTGCCCTTTGTTGCAAAACCCGCCCCCTCACCTCCTTGGAGCAGTTTTCTCAGGGTTACTTGAGATGCTGCCTCCTGGGCTTGAAGTCCTAAAAGTTCCCGCCGAATAAAACATAACTCAGAGAGTGGCATTGACTTACATATACTACCGAATGTAAAATAGATAGCTAGTAGGAAGCAGCCGCATAGCACAGGGAGGTCAGCTGGGTGCTCTGTGACCACCTAGAGGGGTGGGATAGGGAGGGTGGGAGGGAGACGCAAGAGCGAGGATATATGGGGATATATGTATATCTGATTCACTTTGTGATACAGAAGAAACTAACACACCATTGTAAAGCAATTATACTCCAATAAAGATGTTAAAAATAACCCATAACTTTTAGGATGCGTGTATTTTTTCAGCCGACATACAAAAAATAAACCCTTCAACCTGTAAAGAATGTCACTTGTTTTCATATTGTTGTAAAGCAAACTTATAGAATAGGAACATCTGCTACCAGCTCCAACTTACATTTCTTTAAAAAAAAAATCTTATATTACTGAAACCTAAAGCTAAATTTATATTTCCAGGATGCTTCAGTCAAATGTCTGAAAACAGCCCATTTCCCCTTACTAACCAAAATGTGGCTTGTGACCTCTCCAAGCAAAACAAAATGCTCAGTGATCAAGTTTTACAATCTCCAGACCACCTTTAAAATCAATTTAACTGCCAAGTTCAGAACACAAGTGGCATTTGCTGTTGTTATAAACGCACATATCTCTTTCTCCAGCATCTTGCATTCCAGTAGTCTCATTGATCCTATTTAATTATTTTTCTCACATCTTTAAAAAGAGTGTAACCTACAGAAACTCACAGGCAGACCTGGACTCAAATGCCAGCTACACCAGCTGCTCTTTGCAGGACAAAAGGCAAGTTACCTCACCCCCTCTACCCCTGACAGCCTCGATTTCCACTTCTCTAAAATTCAGGTCGTAAAATCTTCCCTGCAGGACTGTTGTAAGAATTACAGTATCCTGTGGGCTGTGGATCAAATCCCAATAAAGAGTAGTCTTATTGGCACAGTGAATTTTGAGTTAGTGGTACTGTCAGTAACTAAACAAATATTTACATTCTCCCTTATCTGCAGAACAAGCTCACTGTGGCCATATGACCAAGTTCTGACCCAATTAATATAAATGGAAGTGTTTTGTGTGCTTTCTGGGAAATGTCTTTAAAGGGAGGGATATGCTCTTTACCCTTTCCTGCATCTGCTGGCAGGAATGCAGATGTAATAGCTAGAGCATCAGCAAACATCTTGGACCACAGTGTAAAAGTCACACATTGGGGACAATGGGACAGCAAAATAGAGGGGTGCTGGATCCCTGATGATTTGGGAAACTTCCCTAGCAGCCCTAGAATGACACCTCTGAGCTTGCAGAACATAAGAAACAAAGTCAATAAGCCATTCTTATTTGAGGTGTTCTTATTTTCAGCAAAACTTAATCCTAATCACTACAAATGGTAAAAGAAATGGAGCTGCTTTTGCTTGGAGTAGACTGGGGCTTTAAGACTTATTATCAGTTTTTAAATCTCCGAAAAGCTAACACATAAGTATATGCGTAGGCATGTTGTATGTTTTTGAAGGCAGAAGGAAGGTTCCTATGTAGAATTTATGGAGAGACAGATTTGAACTCAGCGTAAGTGTCTCTAATAAAGGAATGGCCTTTTTTTTTTTTTTTTTTTTTTTGCCGTACGCGGGCCTCTTACGGCTGTGGCCTCTCCCGTTGCGGAGCACAGGCTCCGAACGCGCAGGCTCAGCGGCCATCGCTCACGGGCCCAGCTGCTCCGCCGCATGTGGAATCTTCCCGGACCGGGGCACGAACCCGTGTCCCCTGCATCGGCAGGCGGACTCTCAACCACTGCGCCACCAGGGAAGCCCAGGAATGGCCATTTTAAGTCATCCAACAGGCAACCATTCACTGAACTCTGCCAGGTACGGCCTGAATGTAATGGATTCAGGTGAATAAAGCACAGTCCTTAGCTTCACAAAGCTCATCTAGACCAGTGCTGCTCAAAGTAGCTGTGACAAAGGACCTTTTTAAAGAAAATATCCAACCCATTGGGGACTGATATTTTATAAAATACAACAAAAATGAATTCTTAGAAAAAGGAAATCAAGACATAAAAATATAAGCTCCCATTTTTATTATAAAACAGACATAAAATTATTTTCAAAGGCATAACTAATTTCAGTTTCTATGTTGACCCCTCATTGTTGGGTGGCACTGGTGTGTAGACCAGCACCAGTCACAGAACATACTTTGAGAAACACTGATCTAGACAAATGCAAGTTGAGGGCCATTCAATAACTGGCCTGTACTTTTCAAAAATATCAATGTCATGAAAGACAAAGAAAGGCTGAAGAGCTATTTCAGCTTAAGGGAAATAAAAGAGACATGACAAGTAAATGCAAAGCTTGATTCTGGATTAAATCCTAGATGACAAAAAAAAGAAATTACTATGAAGGACAGTATTCAGACAACTGGTGAAATCTGAATATGGACCAGATGTTATAATAGATCAATAGTATTAGAATGTCAACTGAAAAAAAACATATAACCTAAGAGTTGAGAATTATGTGTTGGTTTTTTTTTTGCGGTACGCGGGCCTCTCACTGCTGTGGCCTCTCCCGTCGCGGAGCACAGGCTCCGGACGCGCGGACCCAGCTGCCATGGCCCACGGGCCCAGCCGCTCCGCGGCACGTGGGATCCTCCCGGACCGGGGCACGAACCCCTGCCCCCTGCATCGGCAGGCGGACTCTCAACCACTGCGCCACCAGGGAAGCCCGAGAATTATGTTTTATTCAGTGGACTTACTGAGGACTGAAGCCTGGGAGACAGCCTCTCAGATAGCTCCAAGGGGCTGTTCCAAAGAGGTAAGGGAGGAACCAGGATATACTGTATAGGAGTTTTTGTGAAAAAAACAAAAACAACAAAAACAGGTTGTCAGAACATTAAAAGATTACCGTTAATTAAAGAAAACCAGACATCTCAGGTTAATGAATTTAGCACTTTTCTATGTATGGGAAGATGCAAGAATCTGGGCTCACTGAAATCATGCCTTTGATATGCACTTCAACTCTCTAAGGACTAGTATCCTGTTTATCTCCATCCTGAGTTCTCCTCAGGGTGCACTCTTGTGGGCAGCTATGGTGGCTGATGGCTTGAGGGTAGCAACATCCTTTCTTTATTGAAATGGCAGACCACATCCTTTGTCCATAGTAACAATGTTAAATTTCCTGAATTTGATAAGAGGATAATTTTTATAAGATGGTTATTATAAAAGAATGTCCTTGTTCTTAGGAGATGCTCACTCACATATTTACAGTAAGGGATCACAATGTCTGAAACTTCAGTAAAAAAAAAAACTTTTTTACTGAAATGCTTCAGTAAGAAAACTGAATTATACAGAGAGAAAGCTTGAAGGCAAATGTGGCAAGCTGCTAAGAACTGATATATCTAGGGGAAGGGCACACTAGAATTACCTGTACAATTGTTGCAACCTTTTTGGATAGGCTTGATAATTTTTTGTCAGAGTTAACAAACACACACACATACACACAACTAAATGCAGTGTGAGATCCTGGATTTGTTCTTAGCCTAGAAAAAGTGTATTAGTGGGATAATTGGCAAAATTTGCATATTAGTTAGTAAAATTGTATTAATGTTGATTTCCTGATTTTAATAACTTTGTAAGATGTTATCACTTGGGGAAGCTAGGTGAAGGGCTTATGGGAATTCTTTGTACTATTTTTGCATGCTTTTTGCAAATCTGAAATACTTTCAAATAGAAAAGTTAGGAAATTTTAGTTAGTAAAGTTAGTAAAAGCTCACAGTCTAGAACTTTTAGAGTTTTTTCTCCAGACACTAGGAGGAAAAAAAAAATCATATAGTTGGAGAATGACAGAGCCAGGGTCCTAACACCCAGCCCCCAGTACTTTCCACTATCCCATTATCATGGATTCTTTGTCACTGTGATATCTTGCTATTAAAAGGTTCTTGAATTTAAGTGGAAATGCTTCCTACACATTACAAACACTGGTGTGTGCGTGCATGTAACTGAAGTGACATTTAAATGCTTACAGAGCCTTCATAACATCAGTCAGGTTTCCTCCCCAGCATAGATTCTCTAATGTTGGTTTTCCACATGATCTACCAGCAGTTCCCAAACTTGTCTGCACATTAGAATCACCAGAAGATCTTTTAAAAATTTCATAGCCCAGACTGCACTCCAGAAGAATGAAATCACAATCTCTGGAGGTGGGACACAGGAATCAGTATTTTTTGAAGCTCTTAGGTGATTCCAATATTGGAGACAAGCCTGGTAACTACTGTGATTTCCACTTC